TGGCTCTGCCCTACTACTACTTAAGTGTCTATGGAACTTTGAATGAGTTATCTAATTTCTGAATCTTGGTTTCCCTAAATGTTTAGAATTATTGTGAGATGAAAATTGGTCCATGAGTGAAAGCATCCAGTAAGAAGATCTGTACCAAGTATTCAATAAATGTTTGCTCTGCCCCATACATGCTGGTGCAATTAATAAGATCTTTTAAATGATTATTCTGTAGAAAAGACTACTCTATGTGTGTAAATAGGTGGATTTATAAATCTGAAACTCAGTTGGAAACAGGCAATCTTAGATTGTGAAAGCCAGAAAAGAAGGGAACAACCTCAATTCTGCATTTTATGGATAAGGATGTAAAGTCAAAGAAACAAGTTTATGCTTCTACTCAGACTTACCACCTTAAGCTTCTGTGATAAACTGTTGGAACAAAAGATGACAGATGAAAAATGTATCAATGTGCCCACCTTTCTCAAGTCACATTACAAATCCATTCATCCTAAAAAAGAGAGGGAATGTGGCCTAAAATGCAAATATTTTCATCCCAGCTGCTATGCCAAATTAAGGCTCAATGTGTCTTTAAAGATCTTTGAACAATAATTGTTTAATATGGGAGACTAACATACTAACATTTGAATTTTCTGAAATTTCCTCATTATCCCAAACCACATAGACACAAAAAGGCATATAGTCTCTCTGGAGTTTGATGAATGTCAGGACCCAACTGTGGATTCAAAACTAGTGGCTCAGACGGTAAAGAATCTACCTGCAATGCAGGAGACCCGGGTTTGATCCCTGAGTCAGGAAGATCCTCTAGAGAATGAAATGGCAACCAACTCCAGCATTCTTGCCCAAAGAATTCTATGGCCAGAGGAGTCTGGTGGGCTACAGTCCATGGGATCACAAAGAGTCAGACACAACTGAGCGACTAACACTTTCAAACTTAGAAAGAGTTTCACTTTCTGGGTCTTCCCAGTGCACCAGGCCCGAGCACTTGTCTCATGCATCCTACCTGGGCTGGTGATCTGTTTCCCTATAGATAATATACATGTTTCGATGCCGTTCTTTTGAAATATCCCACCCTTGCCTTCTCCCACAGAGTCCAAAAGTCTGTTCTGTACATCTGTGTCTCTTTTTGTTTTGCATATAGGGTTGGTGCACTGGGAAGACCCCGAGGAATCGGGTGGAGAGGGAGGTGGGAGGGGGGATCGGGATGGGGAATACATGTAACTCCATGGCTGATTCATGTCAAAGTATGACAAAACCCACTGCAATGTTGTGAAGTAATTAGCCTCCAACTAATAAAAATAAATGGAAAAAAAAAACCTTTCACTTTCACTTTAGAAAGCAAGGGTCATATGACATTAGTATAAAAATTAAGTGCCATATGGCAAAGTTGCAGTTTATTACACATGCTACTTTTGAACTAATAGGATATCACTATAAAATGGGCACACAGAAAGAAACAAAATTAGTTAAATTTTTACAGCTTGATTTCTACTGTGTATAATGTATGTTTTCTTTAAAAAGTGAAAAAAAAATTTCGCAATTAACAGAAGGTAGAACTTAGGACATGTTGCAAATAGTTCTCCATTGGAGAATATTATTCTAAACAACACTTTTTACCTATTGAGGAAATTTTTTAACTATTGAGGAAACTATAGCCTAAGAGGTAATTTTCTAAACTGGCTATTTTTCTCAGAGAGGACCATTAACTAACTGGACTGAATCAGTTTAAAACTATTAATACATACGTATTTATATATTAATAACATAACAGGAAGAGGAAATGATGTCCATCCCCTTCCTTCAGTCCAAGTAGTAGTCAGAGCTCCATTTAATGGTAGAAAGGTTTACCTGCAGATTAGAACATGGGGAGTCTTTCCTCAACCCCAGATAATGACCAAATGGGAAGGAGAATAGCCACACAAGTAGTCCCTTGGGTGACTCAAAGGAAGAGGTTCTGGAGATTAAGTTTATCAGGATGGAGTTCAGTGCCTTCCCTGAAGACAACTGCCAAGCTCTGGAGCAGCAGCCCTGAAGCCCGCTGACCCAGCAACTGCTGCTAAGCACAGCTTCCCTTCCCCGGCCGGGCCATCCTGTCCAAGGCTGAACTCCAAGTCAGGAAATTTTTCTCAGCAAGGTAATGATCTGATACCAAATAATCAATACTTACCTGTGCCTAGAGAGTGGGCTTAATCCTCCCTGTAAGTGTTACAAAACACCTTAAAGAAACATCCAATTCCTTTTGTGCTATCAAGTGTGTGTGTGTGGTTTATAAGGCGTTGGTCAGTCAGTCACTAGGGGCTTTTCAACTGGCCCTAGAAGCCGCCTCCCTATTTCCTCACAACTGACCTGAAAGTAAAATTAGCCACATATACCTGCCTCTCATTTTCCCTGAAATAACTCTGTACAGTAATTTCTGGGATGTTTTTATTTTTAAAATGACTGGTCCTGTTTGGCTCCATCCATTCTGAAACCAATCGTTACTTGCATCTTACTTCCACTTCAGCTAAGAAAGCCATAGAGTCCAGAATAACTTATTCTTCAAATATGTGAAACCAGGTCCCATCAGAGAATTGAAATCCTGTTGAGTTATAGCTCATAAATTCCCACAACCTAAAGAAGCAGATGTAAGTAATACTAAATTGATAACCCCTGCCTTAGGCATTTTATATTGTACTTGAAACAGAGATTATTTTAACCAGTCTTCAGGGCTTCAGAAGAACAGAAGTCAGTGATTTGCTTATGTTTCAGACAAGAAAATGTACCAGACTACATCTCATTTCTACTCACCTTTAAGAATGTCTGACCAAAGAGGCCTAGGTTCATGGCACTGATAGCAAAGCCAAGTGCTTCCTCTTCCACATCCAGGGTGCATGCTGCTGCCCCAGTATCCAAAGCTAAATGGCAAGCATGTCCCTGAATGGAACAGATGGCATTATATGCCCAATCCCTAACTAATGACTGTGGTCAGGGAAATGGCTATCTTGATTGGCCTACACCAATCAGGGTGCATGTCCAGAGCTGGGGATGAAGCTATTTCCCAAGAAGGACATAGATTACGTGGAGGATCACTGGAGATAGGGAAGACTGGATATTGGATTTTCACTACATACAGACATCTGGCCAGAAAGAGAACAGCAAGCCCAGGACTAGATCTACTGAAAATTACTGCTGGTATTACTAATAAGAAAAGTTTCCAGATTACAAACTAACAAATAACAACAAAACTCCAAGGCCAGTATGTTTCTTTTATTACTTTTGTTTGATTTAAGATGGTTGAATGATTTCATTTTCATTCATAAGCATTACAATAATTCCCATGCAAAAACCAAGACTGCATATGCCTGATTTCAATTGGCCAAAATCCACCCCGTGAGACTGGACATTCAAGATCAAAGTGTTGCTTGACCTTTCCAACAGTAGACAGCACAGTACTCCTTTGAGAGATCGGCAGGCCCCTGGCCCCCAAACACTATAGCTTGAAATGAGTCCATACCAAAACAGGGAGCCGATGCCTTGCAGCACCTAAACCTGGCAAGTAATTTCATTCTTGAAGACAGGACACCTCTACACCAAGGCTTCCATCCAGTTATTTCCTGGTTCCTGCCCTATGGCAAAACCTGCTTTTGAACTGGCATGGTATCTTCTATTTGGGGATTAATGTCATTTTTCCTTCTAGTTTTTCTCAAAACTCTCAGAAGATCCAAAGAGACTCTGCAAAAAAGCTTAACCCTATAATGTCAAAAGAAATATGGTTGACCCTTTAATGTGGGGGTTAGGAACACTGACCTTATGAGGTTGAATATCCATATATAACTTTATAGTGGACCTTCTATTCATGGTTCCAAACCCATACATTCAACTAACACATTTAGTGAAAAAAAAATGCATATAAGTGAATCCACACAGTTTAAACCTGTGTTCAAGGATCAACTATACATACAAAGACAACTACTTTATCAATCATACATTTTCCCCAGCTTCAGATAAAGTCACTCAGCAGGTATGAAGCTTGAAAACTTGTCTCGGTAAGACAGGAACCAGGAAATTCAAAGAGGACAAAACAGGAACCCACATAAAGGAGAACTAAACGAACACAAAGAATCATTCTATTGATTAAGAGAAATGAGCTAAATGAAGAAATGATAGCGTTTCAACAGTAGATGTCAATTTATATTGAAACACACGCATTGGAACTCTGACAATGGCAAAGATTCATTAGTGCAAATAACAATTATAATGGTATGTTCATTAATAGGATTTACATAAGGCTTCAAATAATTACACACACTAAAACTACCATTTGGAAACCTTAATTCTACTTGGAAAGTTGTCAAAGACACCCTTCCAAACCACCCAAAGTTCCGATTTGAGGACAATTACATTCAATGAAGTTGCTCCAAACATAATTTGTAGCATTATCACTTTCAAAGTCTACATTGTTTGGCAGAGAGGGAGAAATTACCCTGGCCACTGGTCGAAAAAAGTATCTGACAAGTCCAGCTAATGTACCAGGTAGTTTCCAGATTCAGATGATTTTCAAATATCTGTAGTGATGAACACTCATTAAAAAAAAATAAAGACAAAGAAAAGCAACACAAAACACAGAATCCTGAAGTATCAGAAAGAGAGATTTCCCCACTCCCATTAATAATTTTGCACAGAGTATGAAACAGAAAGAAGGGAGATAATTCATGGGCATTTCATCTATGGCTCAAGTTCTCCTTAAAAAAAAAAAACCAAACAAACACCAAAACAAAACAATAACTACAAAAAGTAAACAGCAAAATCAGAGGCAGAATATGAAATAGTAATATACTGTTTCAAAGTCTGCACCATCCTGCAGAACCAGGAAACTTAAGATGTGTTCTTAACAGATCCAATCCAGGCTGGATATATTTAAAAAAAAAAAAAAAAAAACCGAAAGACACAAACCACACTACATATTACGAGAGTTTCAGAACCAGAGCAAAAAAAAAAAAAGGCTGCAAAAATGCTCAGAAAAATTTGTCGTCAATTCTGAAATGGGGCCGTGTGACATCATCAGGGTTAATGAAGACGGAGATGGACTTCCCCGGATTCTCAGTCACTAGCTGCTGCAGTTTTTTGGCGAGACGGTCATCGGGCTGGTTGGGATCCCCGCCATCAGACTGCGGGGAGGGGATGCTGGTGGTGCTCCCTCGCCTTTGGAGCTCCAGCGTCAGCCGGTTGGCTGCCTTGACATGCTCGATGGCGGTGCGCAAGTGCTCTGCTGGGTCTGAGCGGACGGAGGAGAGCTTCCGTGCATGGAGCATGACCGTCTCCTCAGACAGGTGCTCCAGCATGTTGCACTGAGGGATGAAGTAATTGGGACACATCTTGTTGACCAGACAGTGTTGCAGGTCATCAATGAGGCCCAGTAAAAAGTGGGCTGCATAGTCTTCTTGGGCCAAGTAGTTGGCGGGAAGTCTGTCGCAGGCCCAGAGCATCATGCTCCGCAGGTGGTAGGGGCTGATGGCCTTGGGCCGGGACAGGAGTTTAATGATGATGGCTTTGCAGGCCTGGTACGCCTGCATGAGGCTGCTGGAGATACACTTCTTCAACTGCACCTCACTCCTGGCAAAGGACAGCCGCCACTCATTGTCCTTCTTTCCCTTGTAGGAGCAAGCTGGTACCAGGTAAAACCCACTGATGACTTCTTCCTCAGTGATCTTCCCATCCCAAAAGTGGTTCTCCATGAGCCAGCTCTGGGCCACTGCCGGCCAACCTTTGAAGGAGACCACCGGGACAATATCGTACAACATGCGACTGCTCCCCACACCCAGAATGATGGAGATGATGGTCCCATTCTTTTCCACTTTTTCCACCTTTGGCATCCCTCTCTGGGGTTTCTTCTGTATCTCTGAGAGGACAATGCTGATGGAGTCATAGAACCAGTCGGCCACTTTGGTTGGAGAGAAAAAGTAGTTGGTGGCACCGTTGATGTGATCTACGATGGTGCAGCAGTCTTTCCATTTACTTATCGTCCCCTCGTCGAAGAGCCGAAGGCTCAGCCAAGAGTGACATAAGGCTGAGTGGCGCATATCCAGTGTCACAGGCTGATTACGGTCATGCAGCTTAAGGGCTGGCACCAGGAGGGTGAAGTCCATATCATAGTCGGTCCCTCGGGCATAGACATTAAGCTCATCTAAATCCAGGTCCACCACACCTTCTCGGACTCCTCCAGAAAGCAGCAGGTACTCATTGGCCACTGGAAGTTTCTGGTCCAGCTTCTGCACCATTCCTAGAAACAGAAAGAGAAAACACGGTTATAGGGAACACAGACACAAGACTCTTATGCATCAATACATGATATGCTGAGCTTCCAAGAGCCATTATTTGTTATCAATACAAAACCACATCTTAGGCTGCTACATGGGCCCAGCCAAGAGTACTTTGTTCATTTTTATCGGTGCTAGAACCCATCCTTTTCCAAAAGATGGGAGAATTATGCAGATTCTTCTCTCACAGTGAAAGCAGTATCATTTTCCATCATAAACCAGGGCTCCTCTTCCCTAGTCATCACCTTGGTTACTGGCATTGCCATCCATTCAGTCACTCAGGCTAAAAACCCAGTAAATTTCAACTCTTATTTCCCTCTCTACTGCCAAATCTTATCTGTATAACCTCCGCATCATTTCTCATTCCCTCCCTGTCCTCCATCTCCGCTGTCATCACATAAAGCCTGGCTCTTTCATTTCTTGCCAAAGCAGTCACCCTTCCCCAGGCCTTCGTGCTGAAACATTCCTCTAAGCAAGAGGAGTTGTGGACACTGAAAGTGGGATACTTTCAGGGGGCAGTGAGGTCATGACTCTTCAAAATAATACTAGTACATTATTGACATTTTTCACTGTGTTGACACTTAAGCTGATACTTAATGGTACAAAAGTAAAGGAGGACAAAATTGCTGGTGCCTTAGCATTAGTCGAGACAGTAGCACCAACTGTATTAACAGTCATTGGATTCTTTATTGTTGGCATGCACTAGCATTAAAAAATTAATAATCCAGTTTCACTTAAAATCCCTAATAGAAAAGGAAATTGGATTCATTTTCTTCACTCCCAAATTTCAAACCACCTTTCTGTATGATGAAATTGCAAACATTCCTGTCTCATACTAAATATCAATACAAAAGTGCTTCAAGAAAAGCCCTCATGTTTGAGTAGGAGGTAAAATTAGCTGCTTTATTCATGGACTGTCACTTTTAATTTAAAGAACTACAGAAAAACTATGGGTATTTAGACTTTAGTATATGATAGACATTTTCTCAAAAACTGAACAAATTGAGACTGTCTTCACAAAAACAACTGAAATATTTTTTGCCAATGAAAACATTGGGGCTTTTAAGAAAAAAATTAATCTAAAAACATATCTCCTGCACCATGAACTTAATATCTTCCCAAATTGTATATTTTTCTAATGAGATTGGTAGTGAAACAACAAATGTGATTTTAGGGGATGATATTATGAGGTCTTTGAGAGTAAGAACCATGTCTCAAATATGTATTAAGCAGGAATAGAGGTCTGCACTCAGTGAGCACACAACTCAAGCTGTGACGGAATGACAAAGGAGAAAATTGAGGAAATTAGTAGGCTTCGATATGAAGTACTTATCCAAAGGCAAGACAGAAATGACTGTTCCACGAATAATATATTAATAGAAATTTACTTTCCCTGACTCCTGTCTTTTTATTATGTATTTACCTGTGCTTCATTATCTGACAAACTATCAGCATCACTCCATGACTCATTTAATATCTTTTCCTGAAAGATCAAAAAGAATGACTTCCCACTATCATTCCTTTAGTCATTGCAGTTACTTTTAATTGGCAGTTTTTTATTCATAAGGCAATCCCAATGCAAATAAATAAACTATGTATATGTGTCTGTTATCACTGCATTTCAGAATTTGACATTCGTTGATAAAAATGTGCTCTTTTCATCTTTAAAATCCTATTTTCCAAACAACAAATAGTAGAGGATCACTTTCTTTTTAAAGCAGTCAATAAGTTATCCAACATTAAAGAGGCAACAATTCATCAAAGAGCCTTCAGTGTCCCTGATTTTTTAGACTGTGCACACTCTCTGCGCTCTGATATGGCCCCCGGATCCCTCTTCAATAAAGGATTTCTTGTTTCAGCTGCTGGGGCTGTCAGTGCAATCCCTTAAGTCCATGCAGTCTGACTGCAAAGAGCCATCTCAACCAAGATCACATCCCGAGGTTGGGGTTAGGGTGACAGGTACACACGCTGCAAGCAATCAGAATGGAAGTGCCCCAGTACAGGATACTCTAACAAGTCACTGGAACCCAGAGTCCCCAGTGGGATCAATTGAGGCTGTCACTGCACCTGCAAGGACACCTGACTTCACCCTCCACCTGATCCTGCTTCTTCGCCCTCCCTTCCACAGGTGCAGGTCCCCAGGGTGCTTCTTTATAAATATTCTAACTCCATCTCGGGCTACTTCATGAGGAACCCAATCTAAAACACTACATACTAACCCAAGCAGCCTTCACTACAAATCAGCACTGAACAATTTATTTTCCTTTTAAGAGTGGTTTTTAAAAGTCAGACAGCTACCAGAGTTGAAAGTTATCATAAACACCAAGACAAAGATGCTTATCTCACTGATCATATTTCAGTATTAATCTCACCTTGACCAAGTAATAACTACCACCACCCCAAGTTTTAGCAGTAGCTCAAAAAAGATAGGATTGAACTTTCAGAACCCCAGGTAGGTGCTGAAAATCATTTTTACTATTTTACAGACTCACATGGAGGTACAGATACTTTCAAAAGGAAACATTTCAACACTGTAAAGCAATTATCCTCCAGTTTTAAAAAAATTAAAAAGAAACATTTGATATTGAAATAATTTACTCATTATTTCATATATTGTTTCATATATTGTGGCATTTGGAGTGCCACAAATATACAAGGGGAAAACCATGACATGCTGGGTTGTAATGTTACTGCAAGTTCATGTGCCTGAAGCACAATGAAGCCAAAGAAAATGAAATGTCAGAGTCTGGAGGAGAGAAAGGTTTAGTGCAGGGCCCTGCCTAGAGACAAGGTGGCTCATGCCATAAGAAGCCAGAAGCTCCCTGAAAGTTTTCAGCAAAGCATGTTAATAAACCAGGTGAAGGACAGGGGTTGGGAGGTTGGAGGGGGGTGTAGCAGGATATGTGGTCAGCTTGTGCACAATTCTCTGATCGGCTGATGATGAGGGAACAAGGATGATGAGCGGTTGACTTTATCAGTCCTTTGGTTCCAGAAGGCCTGGGGTTATGTGTGTGCCTGGTGATTAAGTGGTTAACACTTTCCATTTGTTGGAGGGGGGAGAGGTTTTATACATTTGCAAATGTGCATCAAGTACTATTATCTAGGTACTTCAGAGAGGAGATAAAGGTAAGGATATGGGGGAAGGCCCCACGGGGTCCTGGCTTGGTTACAGCAAATAGTAAGAAGATCTGAATTGATTAGTAGCATTGTTATACGGATACTGCACAAAATTCTATACATCCTTTTGTCCTAGGCAGGAGCCAGCTGGCTCGAGTGCACTGGCCAGGATCTGTATACACAACCAGAATAACATGTGCAGTAATGGGCGGGGGATAATTTGTTTACAAACCCGTCACTGAACTTTACTTGGACTGCCACAATTTTGTTCCAATAGCTACAGGTGAGGCAAACAAGCTAAAATTCCCTTCTTCCCTCCTCCGTATCAAAGAAGTTTTAACACATTTTCACGTAGTGGTGGTGTTCAGTCACTCAGTCGTCTCCAACTCTTGGCGACCCCATGGACTGCAGCATGCCAGGCTTCCCTGCCCTTCACCATCTCTTGGAGTTTGCTAAAACTCATGTCCATTGAGTTTATGATGCCATCCAATCCTCTCATCCACTATCATCTGCCTTCAATATTTCCCAGCATCAGGGTCTTTTCCAATGAGTTGGCTCTTCACATCAGGTGGCCAAAGTATTGGAGCTTCAACTTCAGCACCAGACCTTCCAATGAACATTCACGGTTGATTTCCTTTAGGATTGACTGGTTTGATCTCCCTGCTGTCCAAGGGACTCTCAAGAGTCTTCTCCAGCACCACAGTTCAAAAGCATCAGTTTTTCGGTGCTCAGCCTTTTTTATTGTTCAGCCTTCACACCCATATATGACTACCGGAGAAACCATAGCTTTGACAATACAGACCTTTGTAGGCAAAGTAATGTTTCTGCTTTTTAATATGCTGTCTAGGTTTGTCATTTCTGTTCTTCAAAGGAGCAAGCATCTTTTAATTTCATGGCTACAGTCACCGTCCATCAAGTCACGAGAGATTCTGGAGCTCAGGACAATAAAGTCTGTCCCTGTTTCCACTGTTTCCCCATCTATTTGCCAAGAAGTGATGGGACTGGATGCCAAGATCTTCGTTTTTTGAATGTTGAGTTTTAAGCCAGCTTGTAGTGTGTACACTAGAATATTCCTTTTTCCTCCCAATTGTTGCTTATGTACCTAAAATGTTGACCCTTCTTTCAGAATAGCCATATAATGTATTTGCCTAAATTTGGATATTGAGGAGTTAGAATAATGTTGAACATTTCTTATTTCTTTAAAAAGGGAAGTGAGAACTTGAGCAGCAGCAAGAATACAGCTGAAGCTCATTTGCTAAGCTCTTAGGAGTCAGAAACAAAGTCCCAAAGGCCACCCTGTTCCGGAAGCTGATCCCCCGAGACCTCCACATTTACATTTAGCCTGCCTCAGCCCATTAGTCTGCAGTTGTACAAATTATTTGGTAGCACAAATTGGAGCCTTCCAGCACTATACAAACTCAAATGCCCTCCTTGAAAACTTTCCTGGGCTAAGTATAAGTGAAAATCAGCTGACATCAGCTATCATCCCAGATGGGTTGCCAGGCAACGAAAACACAGCCAGGGGCTGAGAGGGAAAAAAAAATTCTACTGTACACTTTGGCTGTAGGCATTAGTTTCAACAAATGCCATCTCTGAACTGATCCAAGGATTTTTGTATAATTACGGGATATTTTTGTGATATCAAGTGTCTCTGACTGTGTAGCTATTAGTAAATTATCCAAAACCGTGAGTGAGAACAAAAGACAGATTGAACACATATCACTGAGCTTGTTAGCAGCAGAGAAAAAGAGGGATGGAGAAATAGCTTATTCCCCTGGGTGGGTCTTTTCTTTTCAGGGAAGCACTGGCATATGTTTGCTCTTAAAAACAAAGTAAAACTGCCCCC